AGCTATCTTTCCTCCAAGTTAAACAGTCCCTGCTTTCTCAGCATGTGAGAATGTGACGGATGCTTTGGTCTCCTCATCATGTCATCATCTTCACAGCCCTTTGCTGGACTCACTCCTGTAAGTCCATGTCTTTCTTGTACCAGGAACCCCATACCCTGTACCAGCAGTCCAGATGTGTCTGGACTGGACTCACCAGTGCTGAACAGTGCAGAAGAATCACCTTCCTCAGTTTGCTCATGATACTATTCCTTATGCAGCCCTGGATGCTCCTGGCCTTTTATTTACTCATACTCACTTTTTTTTTTTTTTCCTATGAGGGCATATCGCAGACTCGTGCATTCTGCTGCTCAACGTGTGCCTCAGTTTTCTTTCTGACAAAGTGCTTTGTTGCTACTTGGCCCCCAACCTGTACAGATGGAGGAAGGTATTCTTCTCTAGATACATGACTTGATGGTTCCCATTGTTAAACTTCATAATTCAGTAATCTCTGAGATTCTCTCTCAATGGCACCACAAGCATCTGCTGTATCAATCACTCCTCCCAGTTGTGTTTCATCTACAAAATTCCCATCCCACCCTCCAAATCATTAACAAAGATGTTAAACGATATTGGCTCCAGTATCAACCACTGAGTACACCACCAGTGCCTGGAATCCAGAAGGATTTTGTGCTACTACTCACTGCACCTTTGAGCCTGGCAGTTCAGCTGTTTGTCAGTATACCTCACTGTCTCGTTATCTCGTCTGTATTTCAGCAGTTTCTCTGTGAAAATCTTTTAGAAGGTACTGTCAAAAGCCTTGCTGAAGTAAAAAATAAGCAACAACCACAATTCTACCCTCATTCACCAGGCCAGTCATCTTGTTATTGAAAGCCAGCAGGTTTATCAGACACAATGTCCAGATTATCAGTCAACAGTGAATGTCCAATTCTACATTCAGAAATTGTTTCCAGGAGCATTTGTTACATCAGATTCTCATGGATTGCCAAGCTTGTCAGGTGAAGCCAAGGAGCCTGAAGCTCTCTAAAGTCTCCTTGCAATTCTTGAATTAATAACTAGTGGTGTTTGTTTTCATCCTATCTTCCGTGACATCAGCCAGCTCTCAGCACTGATGGTGCTTCCAGTCAGGTCATATGAATGTGTGTAAGTCCAGTTTATTTAAATATTTCCTAACCTAACCTCCTTCACTTAGAGTAACTTTTTACTCCAGACTTTCTCTCTGAGGTTTCTGAAGGCAAATCCAACCATTAAAGAAATGGGCAAAGAAAGCACTGAGTTCTTTGCCCACATACTTTGTAACTAGGTCCTCTGTGACATTCAGCAGTGGGAATACATTTTCTGTAGCCTTCCTATTGCTGCTGATACTCTGGTAGGAGCCCTTTTGTTTGGTCTTCATCTCGACCACATTTAACTCCAGGGAGGCTTTATCTTCTTAGGTCGCTTCTCCCTGTTCCCTCTTCTTGCATGCTACTTTAAGTTTGGCTTGGCTTTCTGCTCATCAGGACCTTTCATTCTTGAGCTTGGATGAGCTTGGATCTTTGAAGATCAGCCAGCTTCCCTGGGTTCCTCTTCAGGAATGTAACCCATACAATTCTTCCACCCAGAGCCTTTAAAATATATATGTAGATATATATCCCAAATTTAATCTTTTCTGAAAATTGCTTTATGGTTTTATATTTGAAAATACACCTTAATAATTACATGTGTTCTAAAACTATTAGAAATGCATGATTTGAAGAATATAAAATGTCAAGAAACATAAATCTTGCTTATTCAAAATGTTCATATTTTTAAGAGAGTCTTTTAATTTACTTTAAAAGTAGTCCACTCATTGCTGTTCTCTTCCTGCAAATTGCTTCTCTAATGCATAACTCCAGAATCTACAGACATGAAGCCAGTGAGCTGAAACAGTGATACGATTATAATTCATCAATAAGTAAATAAAACCCAGTTCAGTTAAATAGCAAATTTAATAGATTATTTTAGGTAGCAACAGACTGAAAAAGGTGAATTCCAAATTGCCAGATAATCCAAATTCTGAAAACCCTTTTCTCCTTTGCATCAATTTGATACAAATGTAAGTCGATTGCAAGAGAGCTGTTTCTGATTGACATGGGTGTAAATGATATCCTTTGGGGGTTTTTTTCAGTTATGGCCTTTGACCCTAATTGCTTATTACTGAGCAAATTGAGTCTTCTGCTAGTGCAGATCAATGACGTAACTTGATAATCTTGCAGCAATCTGACTCTTGACTGCTTTGAAATTAAAAAGAACAGTGCAGTAGGTATTCTAGAAAGTCAATATGTATATAGTTAAAAAATAGACCAACCAGACACTGATCCCTAGTTTAAAAGGAGGATATGTCATGAATTATCAACTGATCTTAACTTGGGTCCATCCTGGGATTATCAAAATTTGTCTTGGATATTTGGACCATGACAAATACATAGACCTGGATATTACATTTTTGACATTCCTCTTGCCATTTTAAGATTATAAATAATTTAAAGTTTAGAAATCTGTTACATGGCTTGGATGAAAATTGCTATTACAGTCCATATGATTATTCTTACCCTGATGCTACATTGACTTTAATGAATGTATTCATAAAATATTTCCCTGAATTTTAGTGAAATTACACACAGCTGCTCTCTTCAGACATGAAAACTACGGCAGAATTTCTCTGTCTTCTTCAGACATACAGAAGAAGATTGAAGATGGCAGTAGTAGATCAACCTCAACATAGTTGACGCAAGAAAGCATAAGAAAAAGAGGTGGAAGCTCTAGACCTGGTGTGGATGTAGGCATCGTGCAATTCAGAAACTATCCTATGCTGTGGGTTGTGTGACATGGCAATGTCCCAGGATCATGTTAGATGGAGAGGGAACTTAAGGGCTTTGGTGAGGAAAAGATTCTACCCAAAATGAAGAACTTGTCATGATTACAGAAAGCTTAAGGGCTTATCTAACCTTACCTCCTATCACTTCTTTAACAGAAACCTTCCCAAATGATTCCTTACAGTGGACTTGAATATACTGTACAACTGTAATCACTTTAATTGAGGTAAATAAGTAAAACCAAATATTTTACTCTTCTTTTTTTTTTTCATTCATGATGTAATTGGTTATTTATAAATAATGCAATCCAGTATAAGTTAAA